TAGACTACAGGCACTTCTGTTTGGCGCGGTCAGAGGCTGATGCCAAGGCGAAGCGCTTCTTCTCTGCCACCGTGTTCGCCAAGCTCCAACACGGCAACGTGACCGGTCTCGTTCCCCTCGACTCATTCTTCAATTACGTCATGCGCAAGACGTGGTTGTGGCAAAACCGCATCAGTCTGTCGCTTTACGACATAACCGGCGACGGTTATTTAACCGAGCGGGATCTGGAGCTGTACGTCACTGAGCTGCTGCCATCCATCGCCCATCTGAAGCGTCTCGACTCGTCCTTCCATCCGTTTTACGTCTGCTCGGTGGTACGTCGTTTCATGTTCTTCCTTGACAAGAAGCGGCTCGGAAAGGTAATATCGCAATAGCCTTACTCCTACGACAGTACTCCTACAGTACAGCAAATTTTTCTACTAATTGAATCACTAATATTGGTCAGTTCCTCACATGAACAGCACCATTACGAGCTGTCACTTCTGTCGACAATATCAGTAGTGTTACCCACTATTTCTGTACTGATACTGTATTTGCAGTAAAAACAGTGCAGTGCTTTTAGCCATTTTCCAATACTGTGGGAGCACAGTTGTATGGCGCATTCTGTTTTGGTTTTGGACTTTAGAAGTGCATGTTAGAATTCTAGCAGGCAAAAATTCTTCTTAGTCTATAGTTTCATTGAATATAAAGTTTTCCCCACTTTGCTTCCTTTCAGCCAATTGAATTGTAAACAAAAAATGAATCATAGTGTTATGATATGATCTCTGGGGTTGCTGAGTCGGTACAGCGTCAGACGTGGAGTCACGCGGTCCAGGGTTGAAGTCTCGGTCAGATCACTCGCCTGTCTTCTGAAGTTGAAATGTTAGTACCATCAGTACCACTCTGTGAGAAAGAAGCAGAAGACTACACACTCTATTTGCCACACCGCTGCTGTGAACTTCGCTTTTAGAGGCACACCTGGCTGACAGCATGGAAATGGAGATCAGCACCAAACTTATGAAAAGGAAGGCTGCCTTTCCAGCGGTTGCAAACTTTCTTTTCGTTCCTTCCTTTGTGTTGTGGTCAGGTCAGAGTCTGCGAAGCTTACGACCATATGTTTCGATGCGTGCACTTTACTACTAAAGTTTGTTTTGACGAACCTGATAGTTTGCAACAACATCACAATGTGTAGCCTTAAATTTAAATTAGTTAATAATTTGCCAATTCAGTTACAAGTTCAAAGGATAGTGGAATTTTATCTTAGCTTTAGCATGACTGTTAGTAGAAAGCGAGCTAATCGGTGACACTGTTTTTACTAGAAATTATATATTCTAGTCGTACTGTTACCTGATTTCGTTTTCTCCTACAAATAATACCATTAATTCGCTGCCGTTTGTACTGGCAATACAGATTGTGACATTATTCATGGATACGTCTCAGTGCTGTTTATACTTCCTCTGTAAGTAACATTTGATTAGATCTACTTCTCGTACGAGAAATCAACCAATGCCAGTTGTACTATTAGTTAACATTTACGGACAACTATGCTTCTAGATTTTTTACTCCTTTTGCTAGCAGTATGTACAATAATGCTAATTAGCAGCCAATTTGACTGTATTGTTAGTCACAGTTTGTGCTCCTGATGTGGCAGATAACTACTAGTATTGGCTAGTTATTACTAGTAATCACTACTGGTTTGGTCATTAGTTGTGACAGAATTAGCTAGGTAGATGTTTGTACTCTTTGTACTTCAGAGAACGTTTAAGTTAAGTGGCAATGTTTTTCGGAGGTGGCTAATATTAGCTGTATCATTCGTTTTAGAATTTCACCTGATGCCACGTAATCGTTTATGCTATTACGTAATTATCAACAGAATTATACTCAACTCGCACGGATTTCAGCGTTCATTAGTTGACTATATTAGTAACTATCATTTCAGAGAGTTGGACAAAATTACAGAGGAATTCGTTCGACTTCGTACATTAGAGGTTCGAGTTCAAATCCAGGCAAATTTTGAGTGCGAATATAATTACCAATGTTATTTCGTTTGTGTGAATATTAGCTAATGCTATTAGTTTTATTATTTAATCTCTAGGGCGAATAGTACAATTTATTAACAATCACATTTATTGACGGAGCCAGTGGTTCATGCACTTTTAGCGAATTTCCCGTACAAGTTTTTAACAGAAGTAGCTGCTGGTTAGTAGCACTTTTCTGCTAATGATAGCTAATTACAGTAGTGCTTTTAGCTCATTTTTCAGGCATTATTAGTACTTCTAATAGAAGTGACAGTCAGTTATAGCACTGTTCGTGTTAGTTGTTACCTTGAGCCTTTTACACAAGCAGAATGTCCGTTACATTGTGACACTGTTTCTAGGGTGACTGTGTTGCAGCTGAGACAATTCGTCTGTGATAGCAGATTTGCCTCTACGTTTTTTGTTCATATTGCATGGCCTCGTGATTGACGTATGCCATGTTTCAGCGCTCAAACGAGAGACTCTTGTTTGAGTAAATGGTTTAATCAGGTTGCAGACATAATAGTAATTAAGATTGATCCATTTCGAGGCCCGGATTTCTTATGTAAATTTCATTTTGTTATGGTTATATTGTGACCCGGCACATGAACGTTTCGCAGCATAAATCTTTTGTGAAGTGATTTGATGATGAACTCCTTGTCTGCAGTGAAGTACGTGTTGTACGAAGCGTCGTTAACGCTCTCAGGTATTTTATAATATAAGTAACGGATGGTAAATGCTACTATTTCATCGATATTCGTTTGCACGGTAATTTTAGGTAAAGATTGTGGATATATTGGCTTCCGGTTTCCTTGACGAACTTCTTGAATTACGTGAACCTACAGACGAACAAGCCAATGACTCCGTTGTTGATTCCCAGGCATCCGGCGAAATTCAGCGTTCGCATAATTGGTTCAGTATGTCGAACGCGTTGTCAATGTACGGTCGGTATGTGAACCTGGACACAAACCGAAACGGCATGCTGTCGAAGGAAGAGCTTATGCAGTACGACGGGGGCACGTTGACAGAAGAATTTGTCACGAGGTTGTTTCAGGAACACTTAACTTACGAAGGTGAAATGGATTACAAAGCGTACTTGGATTTCGTTTTGGCGAGGCTCAACATGAAGCACCCTGCTTCGTTGCGTTATTTTTTCAAGATATTTGACGTACGTCAGCAGAACTTTCTAGACGCCCTTGACATCAACTATTTCTTTCGCGGCATTCAGCGAGCGCTGATTGAACAGGACCAACAGCCGATCGAATTTCAGGATATCAAGGACGAGATCTTCGATATCGTGAAACCGGCGGATCGAAACATTATTACGTTAGACGACCTTATAAATTGCGACCAAGGGGATACCATTGTCAACATATTGACGGATGTCAACGGATTTCTGAGTTATGAAAATCGCGACTTCAGCGAAAACATTGCCAATGTTGCCTATGCGGATTTTTAATATACAGTCTTTCGATTCCAGAAATAATCACGGTTAAAAAATGCTCCCTGAGTATTTTCAGATGTTTGATTTTTTGATGGATATATTAGAACAAAAGGATCCGTATGCGAATCTAAACAATTCATGGTTAACTAACTCCACTAAGTTATTTATCACCTTCCCTTCATATAACTGTTTCTTGTATTAAACCAAAAACCCGGATCGTACTGGACAGATAAGTTCTTGAAATGAGTGTAAATTCTTGAAATGAATGTTTGTTCTGTATGAGATGCACCTTACAAAAAACGCAAAAGGTAGCATGAAAGTCCTCATGATGTCCCTGGTTCTGTGAATACAAAGTATGAATATCGTATTTGATTTAAATCAAAATATTTAATCTATATCGGGATGAAAAAAGTTCTTTGATTGTGACCTTGTTTATGTTCACGATTTGTATCAGCAAGAAGTTTTTATTTGCAGATTAAAGCAGGTGAAACTGGCATTGGCATGGGAGAATTGCGGGTCATTATATAGATATCTCAGAAACGAAGTTAGGATGCACTCGTGACAGATACTTTAGATTGAACGATTAGGTTAATGCCTTCTGACAAATTCTGTTACCTTTAAGGGGAATCTGTGCAATGATCGAAACTACCGGAAATTATTTGCCTCAAATCATCTAACTGTCAGGAGTACACTGATCATCCTTGTAATTTCAAATGAAATATTTGTTCGGGTATTGCTGTGTGTAAAGGCTGCATTGATTTTAATAGCTTGCTGTTACTTTGGAAAGTAAAGGAAACTTTAATCAATTCATGAATAAAGATTTTGATATGGAGTCAAGTTCACCTTGGAACAAAAACGTTTAATGAATATGCACTATCAAGGTTAAAACCCCATATAGCGAGCTCTTTACTTGACGATCGACTAATTTGTATATTGTCTCTTTTAAAAAGGATGAGGTATTATCAACACTGTTGGAGAATGTCCATGTAATAAATTCTACTAGTGTAGGTTTTAAAATTATCATCCAGATCAGCTTGAACTTTTTTTAAACATCAAGTTATATCGTCAAACTTTCGAAGAAAATGAAGGTCAACATTGCTTTCTCCAAAAAGTCATAAGTTTGGTACAATACGAATGCTGAGTTCAAGATTGTGCCCACAGTACAAATATGGACATCTTCACATGAAATCTCATTACAGACCTGAACCGAAGTCGACACAAACAATGGAATAGCAGAGACCTACTGAAACTGAGCATCGAATCTTGTTTCAGGGCCAGCGGCGCTATTATCGCTATCAACCATTTTTAAACATGTGCCGGATGAAGGCGCTATAAAAAACTGCCACAAACATCTTGAATGCCAGGAGAGTATTCTAAGAACGTTCAAATTGAATATCAAAAAACTGTGTAGCCACAAAGAATGCATAAAGATGAACTGACCGGACAAATTTGATGCACGTGATTTTGCATGGCCAAAATTTTTAACCGCCGTATTTGTGAAAACATATTTAAGCCCTGATGTTAAATGGGTGTGTATTTCGATGTTTTAGTCAGGTTTACCCATTTTATAAAGAAACTTTAATAACAGTATATGCTTCAATTTAAGAAACGATTTTGGTGCCAATTGGGGCGCGTCATAAAATTTGGAGGAATCGGGAGGGAAAAAATCATACGACTTGCCGTTGGAAAGTCGATCCAGGAGCGTTTATGGAATCTTTAGTCTTAGTACTTATGATGCGGCATTGATTTTCGGTCCCCTACAGTCATTTGCAAGAAGTTAGTTTTGTCGATATCTGGCGTGACGTAACGAATATACAGTTGTGCTCTTCTTCTTTTCACACATGGAACTCGTTTACTTATTTCTAGAGAATGAAGTGCGAATGACAGAACTAAGGCTCACAATAACGGAAGTCTAAGTGAGTCTGTAAGTCCGCGCAATAGACTCCGCAACCCCCTCTAAGAGGCAGAGTCAACTAAAAAATGTTCGATTCAACCTACTGGAAGCCATACTTTTTGAGATGTAGAATGTTATGCGTCATCGACAATACTCACATACTCACTGATTTCTGCACTAAATCGTTAAATCAAATGAATCAGTGAAGTGCATTTGCTTAATTAACTTTTTAATACCCTGCAATGAGCATCAACTACAAACTATAAATCCCTTAGTTGCTACTGCAAAATGACTTGATTGGCATGTTCATTTAATGTTGCTTTGAAAACAGCTCTCGCATGATTTAAAACCCAGTGACTGATTTTAGCAAAATTTCCATTCTTGGAAATTTCGTTGAAAAGTTCTCATAATATTTACCCATAATCCCATTAATTTTCATAAACGTCAGCTCCAATTCAGTTCTTGAGTGCCATGGAAAAGTCACAAACCTATATTTTTGTACGACTCTATGGGAACCAGAAGTCAGGTGGCGTTCTTTTCGACTGCTAAAAAGATATGAATTGGGATTTACGTAAAACAAAGAGAGCCATAAGCTATTTTTATTGTAAGGCTGGATATGACTACCCGACGCAAATCATTGTGTACAAGAAAAGCACTTGAATTTCCGGCATATACTTCAAATATCTAGAAATCATGACATTTATGACATTCCAAAAGAAATCGCTTATTTTCACATTTGTTCTTTATTAATTACCTTTGGGAGAAGGTAATGCCGATGCATTTCGACTTTCGTATTTAACTGTTTCCGATGAGTCATTCCCAACCTGGAAATTGTTTATTGCCAATTTCCAAAAGGACGTGACTGTTGCAGGCCTACAGGGTAATCAAACTTTTGTTGGAGCCTAAAAAGGAAGACCATATTGACTAAAACGTTATTATAGTATCAATCTGTTACGCCAGTACTATTCACCTGTTTGAACATCCAGCTTAGTTAAACCGAAATCGTGTCATTTTATATAAAGAAGTAATATTATGGCATGACAATGAACTTGCACGACCGGTTATTGTTACCTGTAAGCTAAAATTACCGTAATTGTGTCCTTCGAAATTTAGTTTTCAATGTTGCCTTGTTGCCATTAGTCTTACTCTCATAAATTGGGGTTTTCATTATTATTATATATACTGAAATGTGATAAGTCGTATTTTACTTTATTCTCCGTTCTACGTGTCTCGTTTTATTCTGCGAAATTCAGAACAAGTTGTATTATGGTCTCGTCTTCGCGTCAATTATGTTATCTGTCGTGTGTCATCGGTCCGTTGAATCATCGATTTCGTATTTCTGTCGACGGTGTCATGTGATTTCTTTTAGTTCTTCACATTCGTTTTCCTTTTTGATCTCCTTGTTGCAGTGTTTATCTTAAAAGATTCACTTGTCGAGCTACCCGGTCTCCCATAGTTTTACATTTTGTGTATTGGTCGAATTTTTAGTCTCATACCATGGAACAAGCAAGAGACGCCGCCCAGGCAGTCAGCGAGTTCTTCCAAGGAAATCCGTTCCAAACAATAGTTGGCCATAAAATAGGTATGCTTTTCGCTGTCACTCGCAAAGTTTTTACTTTTCATCTGAATCCGATGTGAAATCTCGGAGTCAGCAACGTTTATATTAATTTGTCAATTAGTAGCTGAAGTCCACAATAAAAATGTAAAGTTTTTTTTGAAGGGTTCATTGCAAACTCAGCGTAAAGATGGGATAAATAAATAAATAGCTTGAAACAGATAGTGTGTCATTAAGATAATATATTCAATAGCTAAAATAAATGCGAAAGATTTCACTTACATGGATGGATCAAAACCGAAACAATACTGTATATTACATTGAGCATAGTACTGTTGACAGGCAGCCTCCTGGTCTCTGATCGCAAGTAAAGTAGAACATGTGCCTTCACAGGATTTACGTAACATAATTGCACCCTTACCTTCTAGATACCCAGGGCACTTTTTCACGAGGCCACCACGGCTCCATAATGTTTGAGCACTTGCTCTGTATAAGGGCTATGCTGTGTCATTGGTAGGTGAAACAAATTCCCGTTAAGACACCAACCGATTTGGGCCGGGCCATTTCCGCCCCAGCACCAGTTAAAAAGTGCCATAGCCCATTGTCATTTATTTGGACATCTAATTACAACGATTTACCTTCCTCGTACGTTGCCTCCATGCAGTGCATGTTGTAAAATGTCATGGAGCCATGACCAGCTGAAAAGTTATTATATGCTTGGAGAGAAAAATGGGGCAATGCGATTATTACGTCTAGTAAATCTGGTTACGGGACAAGTGACTGTAATGGATGATAAATTCTGTCCTACTTTTTTTCTTGGTTTGTCACTGCTATGTACCTGATCAGCTTGTGATATTAAAGTAATCTGTTTTGCAGCAGTGATGCCTTACTTTGATTTTCTGCTTTCACAGTGTCTTTTCTCCTTGTGGCAAGCACAAGATATTTCATTGTGTCTTTTGCAGCTGTGCGCATACTAACTTTGAACGTTCTTTCAGAAGAAGCTACTGACCCCAGTTTGCCAGCCGAAGATTGGTCCCTGAACCTTCATATCTGCGATTTAATCAATGCTCGAGAAGAAGGGTAAGCTTTCTAAAACGGTTTTATATATATTTCAAAAGGTCAGAAATCGTAAATCTTGACTACTCTGCTATTCAGGCTCTGCTAGCATTTGGTGACGATGATAAAACGTAGACAACTGGTTTATCTCCCGTACAAAATATGTGCATTGCGTTTTGCTTAATTAAATTGTTTTGTTTCTGTTTCTTCTTAGTATGACTACCAACGCAGGTCGTTAGAAGTATTCTGCTAAGCGTGTAATATTTCCAAGCCAGGTTTTATGACATTCATTCTTTCTGTTACTAGATACATAGGAAACCGTTCAAGCAGGTCTTGACTTCATAATATTTTAGCTCCTGTTTTTGTCTATGTGCATGTTTACTGACACTGTTGTCTACAACAATGCCCTTCTCATCGTTAATGATGATTCAGCTGCCGCATACTGTATGTATGCCTTCGTAAAATATGAGTAATATAAATTTAACCACCGGAATGATCTTAATAACAAATGGATTCACCATCCCGAAGATACTAAAATGTGGACTCATGATATGCTTAAAAACAGTCTAGGTGGCATCTACCAGCAATCGAAAGGTATGATAACTGCGAGAATCGCATTACTTATAACCGTTTGTTCAAAGTGAAGTCTTTCTACCACTGTGTGGCTAAGAAACAAATTTTCGGGAAAAATGCGGTTTACCTCATGGAATTCTGCACTTATCTGTAATCATTAGCAACTGAAGTGGCGATACATATTTATCGATTGGTGTTACAGCAGCACGAACTGTGCCAAAAAGAAAAATTACGAATTACATGTGTTTAAGGGTGTTCCCTGAGGCTTCACATGGGAGGCCTCTATAAGCTATAGTCGGTATGAGTATGCCCTGTAAACCTGGAGAAAAGGAAGGTTATGTTATTCTTTTCGGCAGTACCAAGGCTTTGCTTTTGTGGATCAGTGCAGTTTTGCAGCTGGCTGGATATATGCATATCCTTTCTTGCTGGAAGATGAGTTACAAATGTAATCTCTTTCATTTGTTTATGTAATTAATATATTAGTATTTGGTTGGGCTCTGTGATCGGGTTTCGAAGTTGGGTGATGCGGGGTTCGAATCTCCAAGGAGTCAAAAATTTTCCTCAACCGTTAATCCCTTTAGCAAGAAATCTAACCCCTCCCATACTTCTGTTCAAACAGCTGCGAAACGGTTAGCAAGTCGTTGTACTTAGAAACAACATTGATAGCATGGTGTTTTGGTGTTGTCGTACTGTAACCGGTGAGAAATATTGCCATGCTGTGTGATCCATGCATGCGCTTCCACTTGCGGTTGCAATATGCCTTCACTCATCTGATAACTGACTTTTCAATGTGCCCATCTCTCTAGCTGAAATCTTCTGGCGTGATAATCACAAGATATAACTCACGTTGTTTTTGTAGATAGATATTCCATCTAGAAATGAGATCTGTTCATCTTCTGTTACTGCTACTGTTTCTGTCTTAGTCGACCGTTTATTACTTAATTTCGAGGTTAATGCAGCAGGTAGGAAGAATTTATTACACCAGAATTTATTTTAATACACGGTCTTGCTCTCCCTTCATCATGCAGATTTGAAGTAGGCCATTCTATATTACATGCATTCTATTGTGTAATATTGTGTTTATTGTAAATGTTTTATGTACAGCTATTTTCACAGCTGGTGAAAAGGAAAAACAGCACAAAACGGTGTATTAATACAACACGCATAAAATAATACTGCCATTGTGATGATTATCTGATTCCGACGGTTCGATCTGTGTCTCAAGAGCCTTGTTTAAAGAATAAGGTTGGTACAGTTTCCTAGGTTTTTCTTATTGTCCACAGCCGTCAGTAGTTCTGAAGCCATAAGAATCCTTTTAGTTCATGTTACTGGTTGAAGTTTCTGCGCAACTATTGCGACAAGGCTCATTCGCTCTTAGCGAGAGATCATATTCTTTCTCATGATGCGCTTTGTCGCAGGACTAAATGGTTAATGCCTCCTTGACGCGCCTGTTCAGCCAGTGTCTTCGTTTAATGGTGCTGGTACACTGATTATCGGTGGAGGGGCGGGTCCTTGCTTTTCCGGGTACAGCACAATCCCACAGGTTGTTTCGCACTGTTTCTTAACTTTGCATGAGTTAATGCTTTGTTTTCTGCCTGAATGCTTAGTTATCACGTATTGCTCATGCACCTCTGATCATCTGTTTTTTCCAGCTTAGAGGTGGGTCTCTGTTGTTATGTGTTATTCTAACATGTATGAAAAAGCTGTAATAAACGTTCTATAACTAAAAACTTTTTAAAAGGCGGCTAATGAGACACGGGCCGAAGCGTCGGTGGTGTTCAGTCATCCGATTGACAGTATTATTTTTTACTGTTTATTAATAGATTGTTTTATGCTGTTTTTCAGTATTGCCACCAATTCACGAACGAAATACTCTTATCGAAAAGAGTATTGCAGTAGTGATTATTTACAGTTGTCACTTTTGATAACGTGATAATCTTAAATAGTTTAGACCAAGGGAAGCCATACGGGCAATTCGCAGACGGCTGCAGATGAATATAGGCAAAAATGACATCGTGGTAATGTACACCTTAACCGTATTGGAAACGTGCGTGAAAAACTGCGACTTTCGCCTCCACCATCTGGTGTCCCAAAAGGATTTCATCAACGATCTGCTGAAGTTTATTGGCCCAAAATACGACCCTCCTCAGAACATCCAGGATCGCGTGTTGGGTTTGATAAAGGTAAGATAATCAAGGTTGTCCCTTTTCTATTTTGCTCATTCGCAGTTAGTGCATTTCAGACATGGGCTGAAGCATTCCGAGGCAAATCAGAGTTGTCCGGCGTCTGCGAGGTGTACGATGAAATGAAAGCAAAGGGTATCGAATTTCCAAAGATAGAGATGGAAAAGTCCCCACCTATCTTCACCCCTCGTGTGGTAAATGTTTTGAAGACCGTCATTCTGCTGTCTTCTCCGCTTACCTTCTTTTCTTAGTCAGCTCTCTCGCAGCAGACTCCCGTTGCTGCAAAAGCCGCCGCCTTTCCTTCCATCGGACCACAACGCAATATGCTGACCTTGACTCCTGAACAGCTGGCGAAATTGCGCAGCGAACTGGATGTGGTGAATGGAAACTTGGCTGTGTTCCGTGAAATGTTGTCTGAGCTTCACCCCGGTGCCGAAAATGCCGATGACCTGCAGTTACTTAAGGTATGGTTGAGAAGTAGCATACGAGTTTCAATGCTCCCATGTGATAGTGAAATTTGTCTTCGATAAAACTTGCACATTGTTTTTGTTTATTACCCTCTACCACTGACTTTCAAATTCGTTACAGTTTTACCAGTGAGACCAGAATTGTAAACGTGATATGTTACATCAGGTTAACGTGGTTATTTACTGACTTAGATTAAGCTTAATATTTTGACTGTGATAAGAATGAAACGACTTCAGCCGACTAATGAGCACATTAAATTGATAAAATCAATTAAAAGTTTTCACGTGAATGTACTTACCTTTCGGAACATGAGGCGGTGTTCCTTTTCAACGTACTGTGAATGGTCATCTATAATCATTGTCTATGATTTATTATTGTACGTTGGAAAGGAATCCCCGCTTGTTGTTATTAAGCTTCGCATTTGAATTAAAGATTTTGCCGAAGCTTTTACAGTTTCTGCCATTTGTTAATGTGCTTTAGAAGTTTTCAAGTCTGGTTTCCGAGCGAAAATTTAGCCCTCATAACAGAGAGTATGGTGGCTGCTGTCAAGAATTCATAAAGCAATGATTGATCAGATTACTAGTTAGTAAATACAGTGAAATTCATAAAAGATGCCTACCTTCTACGTTTCCTTTCGTGTATGCCACAGTATTAAACAATCAATAGCTGGGCAGAACGAATAAAGAAAAGGCAAAAGAAAGTGAAGCATGAAGATGAAGAAGTGAAGCGCAGTGGATAAGAAAAGGAACACGTGTAACCGTTGCAATGCCGGTCTTCGTTGCACTTTCTTCACTTAGTCATCTGTGACGCTGAGACGCTGTTATCCTTTTCCATGTCTTCAGTCAGGAGTGCCTTACTGTAAAAGCATTGTCTCAGCAGTTCCTCGACAAGCGTGGTTATAGTCTCCTGTTTTTTCCGCTTCACGGTACTAATTTATCAACCTCGAAATGACGACAATCAAGCGAGCCCGTTTGTTCTGCCGATCGAACAACCCCAGTCTGAAACTAAATATTGCAAGTAAGAGAAGCTGCAGAATTTTACACAATGTATAGAAAACAGAAAGAAAGACATAAAGAAGAAGTTAAAAATGGCAGGAGACCGCAAGTAGAGCTGAAAAGAACGGTCATTGTGGAGAAGAAACAAATTAGACATCGAAGTAAAAGTGTTTGACAGGAAAGATTGTAACAAGCAATGAAGGAGATACAAGTGAGAAACTGCGTTGAAATGAATAGGATAATTACGAAAGAAGCAGAATGATCAGAAGAAGAATTAAATGTGATTAAACAGTGATAGTTCAGGGCTGTTAAGAAAGTAGATACACAAGTACATCAGATCAAGAAAAGGCAAAGTGTATCCGTAAGTAAAATTCTTGGGAATGGGGAAAATCCGGCAGAAACACAATACAGTATAAAAGTAAGGACGTAATGTGACGAAATGACAGGAAGGTCAATGGAGGAACGGTAAAAGGAATAATCAGTTAAAAGAAAGAAAACAAAAATATATCTGGAAATGCTAATACAAATAAAGTACAGGATTTCAAACGGGAATTTTACCAACTGACGGAAACGAAATGATGAATCTTATAATTAATGACGGAAAAATAAGATTTTGAAGGTTTGATATGTTGCTTTTTGTGCGATCCTGATCTCTGTCACGACATCATCAGTCATTAATACTATATTTTTGAAGGCAACATCTTCATCTTGGTGGTCACGACCGCGCATTGTCTGCAGCCTTTATCAGAGTGTGATGCTGATTTGTTTAAATTCAGCTTTAAATTTAATTTACTTGAAGCTTCACTCTGCCGTTGCCGTTCCGCTCTCGAGTGAGAAATTAGGAGGGGTTGTTAGCGTGGACAGGTTTCCCGTTAAACTTAGCTTTTTGACCCTCGTGGTACTGCTCCGGTCGTCTTCCTGGTTACCAGGGGCCACGCAAACAATTAGAAAATTGAGACAAACTGTGAAGGTAGGCCATGAGAATTTGCTTCACGCTTTCTGGCAGCTGGAGGAGTAGCAGCACGGC